TTCAGTCCACTGGCTCTCACCTTCTGATCTGACGTCGACTCGTTCCACTCAGCATACACATCTTCACACAGTGCTCTCAGCACTCAACAACTCCATTCCGCCATGGACACCACGATAGCACAGCAGCAGTCCTTTGACCGCCTTCAATTTCCCCAGACCGGCCTTGATATGGTGTGTAACATCATCTTCTTATCTTTTCATCTCCTAGCCCTTCCCTGAACCTCTCCTGCTTGCTTCTCCCCGCCCACCTCAGATATCTTGTTCAGACCATGTGATCCACAGTGCCTGGTGAAGCCGGCCGGAACCAAGCATCATCCACAGCTAACACCTCGACAGAGCCCGCAACAGGTGTCGCCACTTTCATACTACGACCCTCAGGCCGACTTCAGCGCCGACTCAGCGCCCTCACGAGGCTCTCCCATCTCTCCCATCTTTGGCAACGCTTTTCAGCTGCCCATCGACCCTGACTGGCCCGCCTACCTCGACAAGAGCGACATGTCTCCCGATCTCGACATCTACTACGGCGAGTCCTTCGGCGGTCCTTTGGCCTTCGTCGACGCGCAGGCGCAGAACCCCACACTCAGCCCAGCCGCCAACCCCTTGGATCTCATGTCCGAAAGCGTGGCGTTTGGCGGTGATCTCAACGATGTCCAACCTCTCTTCCAGTCGGCTCCCGCACCATCAACACTGCCCATCGCCAACCCGCCAGCGGCCGCCACGGCCCGGATGGCGCGGATGACGCAATCTCGGTCCCAGTCTCAGTCCTCGACCACACCAACGGCACCCGCGGCACAGGTCCAGACCCGCAGTCAGCAGCGCGCCGCCCAACGCGCGCCCGCCCGCCGTCCCGCCGATCTCAAACGCAAATCGTCGACCTGCGACGACTCGGCCTCGTCCCGCTCGACCTCGCCGGAGCCCCCGGCACGCCGCACCAAGCACGCCGGCGCCGGCGCCGCCGACCCGAGCAAGAACCCGCACAACCTCATCGAGAAGCGCTACCGCGTCAACATTAACGAGAAGATCCTCGCCCTGCGCGACGCCGTGCCCCGCCCTTGCGCTGCGCCATGCAGCTCCAG